ACCCCGCCCCGCCTCAGGTCCGGCCGCGACCCCCTTCCTCGCCCCGCCGCCGGCATCGACCCCACCTCCCTTCTCGACCGCTCCTCCCAGCTCTCCGTATCCGACGAAGACGAAGCGGAAGCTGACTCCGCCCCGTCGTTTCCCGAGCTTGAGGCGGCGGTCGAGCGGTCCATTACCGCCCTAGGCCGCGCCGCCTTCCCCAAGTTGAACTGGAGCGCACCCAAGGACGCAGCCTGGATCTCCGCCGACGGCACCGTCCGCTGCTCCTCCTTCGCTGACGTTGCCCTTCTCCACTCCTCCGACTCCATCGCCCCGAGATGGAGTTCCGCTGCTTCGCCCGCTGCCGCCGCCTCATAGCCATATCCCAGCGCGAAGTCACCAACTGCTACCACGCCCTTCTCGACCGCCGCCACCACATTCTGCCTCTCATCCAGACCTTCTTCTCCGAGGTCGTGGGTCCCACGTTCGAGTCTCAGAACTACACCTTCGACGTTTATGTCACCAGTGACGGGCGGGTGAAGCTTATCGACTTCAACCCATGGCGCGCCTTCACATTACCCATTCTCTTTACCTGGGAGGAGTTGGAGGAAGAAGCATTTAATTCCAAGGAGGAAGAAGTAGACAAAGAGCCGGGAGAAGAAGAAGCAAGATTGGTGGAGTTTCGGATTGTCGAAAGCCAATGTGGGGTGAGGCCAGGGTTGAAGACGGCTGTGCCTTACGACTACTTGGACACAAGGGAAGGAAGTGGGTGGGATCAGTTCTTGAGGAGAGCGGACGAGGAGCTGAGGAAGCAGGCCCAGACAATTTTGCACCCCAGTAATGATGCTTACAGAAGAACAAAAGATCTTTCAGCTTGATTTCTTATGGATATCTAATCAGGTCAGTCTCAAAAGAATCACTGCTTCTAGTTTGTACTTTTTTGCTTCTAACTCTAGACACCAGTAGTCTTAAAAATCACTGGTTTTTGTTGTGACTGCTTGTTATTGGACTGAGTATATAATGTACTTCAAAGAGGATTATTACATCATGGATACTGTACCTCAAACGGCCTCAGTGTTGAAACACTTTGTCTTCTTGACTGTCCCATGCACCCTCGAATCTATTTCATTAGAATCTTTCCCCTTGTAAGAGACAAAATACATAGTTACGAAAAGCTCCGACAAGTGATCGGAGTGGCTATAGAATACATTGCTATTATGTTTGCCAGAGGAAGTGGAAGGTTAACATGGTGAAGAATTGTTACATAGCATTCAGATAACCTCCTTTTGTATAGTGTCTACTATCTTGTTAGCCTTCTGCAATGATATAACAATTGCACTTGGCAGGGTTTGATGTTTGGTATAGCCAATGATATAACAATTGCTGTAGCCAATGCTATCTTGTTACTTTTATGTCTATCCCTTAAATCTTACTCAAGGCAAAAGCAAAACTAAAAGTTTGTGTTTGAAACATGATGGAACTAACATATATTATTCAAGTGTTCATACATCTAATATGGAGTCCACTCCTGCAGGTTGTAGGTTTTATTGCTACTGGATGTTTGGCCTCATTTCTATCTTCCAGGTTCAGTTCCTCCCCTTACCAACCAAAGCCACCCCAAGGCCACCCCTTGCAAAAAGAACTAAAATTGCTACAGTAAAAATAAGAAAAGTGAATTGACATGTTATTGTTTAGATGGAGCAGAGTAATATTGTAAATCATTTGAAGATGTCCTATATAGATATGAATAAAGCATACAACAATATGGAAATGAAAATTTGTTTCCATTGACCAACATTTTCTTCATCGAAACATTCTCCTATGAATTGTACAGCCGGTGGTTGTAAAGCATATCTCTTACCTGATATGTGACCTTGGATGGATTGAACATATACTATGTCCTTGTTTCAAATTATGTGAGCCCTCTAGAAATCGGTCCAAGTCTATCAAGTAAAAACACCTAGGAGTCATTTTAGGCAACCATGTAGGAAAGTTGCCCTGATGGTCACTGTGGAAGCTGTAATTCCTCTTAGATCTTCTTGCCTGGATGAAGAGTTTGAGATAATTAGTTTTATCGTGTTTTTTGCATCCAAGGGATAAACATATTTTGAAGAGAAACAAACCACAATTCCATTTGACAAAATATTTTCCTTCGGTAAGGAGGTTCATACAATTTGCTACAATAAAAATACACTAATATCTTTGTGACTCAGATGCAGAGTTTGCTTATTATAAGGTGACTTATAACTAAAGAAACTTTGCTTAAAATTTAGAATGGGAGATTTTTCATAAATAAAGAGAGCATGAGAGAGTAGGGTAGTTTTCTCCTTAGCTATTCATATATTTTGAAACAAACGTTGTATAGATGAACTTTCAGCATAGTTGTTCTTCATTTGTGAAAGAGAGTATACTTTAACACAAACATATGAGCTAGTTTATTTTCTTTCATGCAATGATACCATAAATTAAAGTTGTTTCACCATTTGTAGGTTTGAAATTATGGGGGCTGGCTCTACTGAACATTATACCGGGCAAAGTCTGAGGACAGATGTCATGAGGAATCTCAGTTTCCAACAAGCCATTAACTGCATGTGTAGGTTTTTTTGTCGACCTGTGCCCTTGTTAATCTTTAAGCAAACAATTGTGCTGTGTTTTGGTTAATCTAGACCCGCTAGTGCTACTTATACTCGAGTTTAGTTTGCTTCAAACTTCTTTGGTGAATGATACAAATTAACTGGAAGCTTTTCCATGTATGATTTATGTGCGCTGCTGGAATTGTTTTCAATGGATTGAATAGGCCGTGGATTGCTATGTAAATTTCCAAATAAAACGAAGACTCATATGTTGACGCAATGCATGGTGTTATATTTCTCCTTTGGAATTCTCCTGGTTATAACTGATGATGTTGAGTTCATCTTGTTGCATCTATTCTTGAAAATTCTATTAAAATATTGGTTCAGACAGGTCCAACTTGTGACAGAAGTCTATCAATCAACTGAGGGCTTTGTTCGAGTACAACACTAGTCAGGATTTGTGGTTTTAAAATGACAGGAAGAAAGAATTCGTCATCGACAGGAAGAAAGAATTCGTCATTGACAGGAAGGTAATGCATCATCTTCATCGGACTCATTATGACACATAGAGGCCTTTCGAACCGGAATATACAGAAGAGCAGCAATCACGCTTTGGTTCACTGGAGATGTCTCCGGACAGACTAATGCCTCCTGTTTGCAGTCTACTGGACAAGATAGCAATTCAAACAAGTAACTTCCCTGTAGACTCAAACCCTGAAAGCCGTGATAGAAGGAAGTGCCAAAACATTTTAATTTCTCTGATACACCACATCCTATAGCGAGGAAATGAAGCTTCGACTATTTGTACAGGCCAAAAGACACAGAGGAGAGAACATGGTGAGGATTCGGAAGGCGGTGCCAAGGAAGGCAAGGGGCTCCTTAGCGGCGTGGCCACCGTCGAGACTCGTCGCCCAGTTCTTTTCTGAACCTACATAAATGTAATCCTCAATCTGACTTGAGTTGAAGAAACTAAATTATTTTTCTTTCTTTTTACTACAATAAAAACTATATGGTTAGTTTTGATCGTAGGAAGAACATACGGTATGTTCAAATTTAATCGTTTATCCGTCTTCATGAATTTGTCTCCATCTAATCAATTTTTCAAATATTATCATATTCAAAAGAGGGAAAAAAAATAGAAGGAATCAAAACTTAGAAGAGGAAAAAATTATTTCGAATGCTGAAAACATCCTTTTCTATTTTTTTTTTATTTCTAAATTATGATATCTTGTGTATCTTTTGTCGATGAGCATTGATTAGATATGATATGTTCAATAAACATTGATTAGATTTCATGCGTTTCATTAATAAAAAATAATGAAAGATCTAATTTAAAAAGATCTAATTTCTTTTGGTATTTGTTTAAAAAGATCTAATTTAATATAATTATCACCAAGAAAAAAAAAAGAATCCAAACAGAACGTGACCCTCAATCGAAAAGAAGACTTAATCAAGAAAAAAAAAGGCCAACTGCTTAAAGGGGGGCGTAGGAAGATAGCAAGGATTGCGTCACCCATCCTCATATCTCGGATTTGACAGAAAACTAGAACTAAATCCTGAACCCCTATCACAAATAAGACATGATCAAGATAAATAATAATCAAAAGGGTGCATACGAGGGTCTCGAAGCTCCATTTCCAAGATCTCGGAATCACGAGACAAAGATCAACGAACGTTGCAATCTATCCTATAAGTGTCCATCAAGATATGAACGAGCTCAATTTTCCAAAGCACAATCGAAGCCCGACCAAATCAAACCAATATAACACAAAGGCCAATGGATGCCAACGCATATGAAAACGTCATAACTCTAATAAAAGTCTCCAACCAGAGGATAATTACAACCTGATTGATTATGAAATCAAAAGCAACATCGAAATCGATTTCTCTAACATCAATTATTCTTCTTCCTCTTCAGCATGTTCTTGAACCAGTAGGCCGATTCCTTTGGGTATCGCATGTTCGTCTTAAAGTCCACGTAAACCAGACCAAACCTCGAAGTGTAACCCAACCTCCACTCGAAGTTATCAAGGAGAGACCATGCAAAGTATCCGATCACCGTCGCACCATCATCCATCGCCCTCTTCAGCTCGGTGATGTAGCTCTTGTAGAAGTTGATCCTCTTAGTGTCGCGCAAACCTTCTGGTAGAGTGACATTGCCTGGCTGATCCATTCCTACGATAATCATCAACATCATCATCATCATCATCGTCGTCTTCGTTTTCAAGAGATCAGAAACTGTGATTACAACGGAGCGAGGAGGCCATAGAATGTTTCATACCATTTTCTGCGAGGATGATGACTGGATCACCATAATTTACCTTCACGTAGGTCACAGCTTTGTACATTCCCCATGGAACTATGTAGAGCCAGCCGGAGTAGGCCTGAGTAAAATTCCATTACTAAAAGGTTAATCAACAGTTGCTTTTCAGTGTAGATCAACGCAAGTCACAGATTAGGTGAAAAAGTATTTTAATGAGAAGAAGAAAAGGCATGGTTTTACCTGTGGACCAATCGGGACACCATCTCGGTCAACTGCAAGATATGGAAATGTAAGAAAGAAGGTTAACACAAAGAATGAAGCTATTACAAGGGATCAGCAAATCTAACATTTGAATTCGACGTGCCAGTCGTCTTGGTAGCTGACAGGTTTGGGATTGGTGACTCCATTATCCTTCATGTAGTAAGACGTGTATTGGTTGACACCAACATAATCATAAGAACCTTTCACCATCTTCACTTGATCAGCGGTGAATTTAGGAAGCCTGTCCTTGACAATTTCTCGAATTGATTTTGGATAGTATCCATATGTTAGAGGGTGAAGAAACCTGCAAACAGAGAAAGAGATCAATCGGTCACTTAAGAGAGTATATACTTGAGAGTTTT